CGGCGGGCCCCGCTGCAGCAGCTGCGGCAGCAGCAGCTGCAGTTGCTGCAGCTCGGGCTGCTGCTGCAACTGGTGCTGCTGCTGCGGATGCATATATGTGGGGCCCCGCAGCTAGAGGTTTCCTTTGCTGCGACAGGCAACTAGAGCAGCAGCAGCAGCGCTACCAGCAGCAGCAGCAGCAGCAGCAGCAGCGCAACTGCCAGCGACACAAACACAGCAGCAGCTGCTACTGCAGCGCTGCTGTGTTTGCGTATTATCTTCTTAGGCGTGCTGCTGTTGCTGTAGCTGCTGCTCTTGCTGCTGCTTTGGCTGCAGCTGCAGCTCTTGCTGCTGCTGTTGCTGTTGTTGCTGCCGTTGTTCTTCTTGCTGCTGCTGTTGCTGTTGTTGCTGCCGTTGTTCTTCTTGCCGCTGCTGCCCTTAATGTAGTTGCTGTTACTGCTGCTGTTGCTGCTGCTGCTTCTCTGCACGCCTCTCTAGAGTTAATCTGCAGCAGCTGCAGCAGCAGCTGCTGCTGCACGACTTGGTGCAGCACAATAAAAGCAGTTTATTGAAGGCGGAGAGAAGAAAGAAACCGTTAAGAATATAAAATAATATTAATAAAGATAAAATAAATAAATAAAAAAATAAAGATGAAAGAGACAGAAGAAGATAATGATAAAGGAGACAGAGGAGACAGAGACGGAGACATTATTTCGAGAGACAGAAGAGACAGGCACCAATCCAGTTGCTGCTGCTACTGCTGCAGTTGCTGCTGCTACTGCTGCAGCTGGTCCTGCTGTTGCTGCTGCTGCTGCAGTTGCTGCTACGAATTCACGCGGCACGAAGGGTTAGTATAGCCAAACAAATGCAGCAACAGCTGCAGCAGCAACTGTAGCACCGGCTGTAGAAACAACTGCAGCAGCAACAGTAACAACAACTGCAGCGACAGCTGCAGCAGTAACTGTAGCAGCGACTGTAGTAACAACTGCAGCAACAATAGCAGCAGCATCTGCAGCAGCACCTGCAGCAACAGCTGTAGTAAGTACTGTACGTACTGCTTCGGCTCACAGTGCGGAATGAGAGAACAGCAGCAGCAGCAGCAACGACAGCAGCAGCAGCAGCAATAGAGGAGACACAACAAGGCCAGAACTAACAATCCTAAACCGTAAAACCCTAAACCCTAAACCCCTGAAACCCTCAAACCCTAAACCCTCCTTTTTTTAGGTGAAAGGAGTTAACATGCGCTGGGGCAGCAGAACAAGCAGCAGCAGCAGCAGCAGCAGTCGCAGGTGGCGGTGCTGCTGTTGTTGCTGTTGCTATTGCTGCTGCTGCTGCAGCAGCAGCAGCAGTTGCTGCTGGATTTCGCCGTTGTTCTAATCCCGGCGGGGGCATCTGCGCTGCTGGAGTGCTGCTGCTGCAGTTGCTGCTGCAGTTGCTGCTGCAGCAGCAGGACAAGGAACCACAAAGCACTGCAGCAGCAGCACTGCACTGCAGAAGGAGCGCTGCAGCAGCAGCGCTGCAGCAGCAAGTGCTGCTGCTGCTGCTGCTGTTGCTGCGGCTGCTGCTGCAGCGGGCGCGGCATGAGTTGCTGCGCCTTAACACAGAGAAAAGGGATCAAGGTTGTGGGGTGTATACGGAGACACTAGAAGAGGGGCTCAGCTGTCCATACACATCCCTGTCTCCTCTGCTGCTTCAGTTGCAATCTCTTTATCTGCAGCCGCAGCAAAGGCGGATGCAGCAGCAGCAACGGTATCTGCTGCAGCAGCAGCAGGTATATCTGCTTTGGCGCTGGTGAGTGCGTCGTGCTGCAGTTCCTGCTGCTCCTGCTGCTGTTGTTGTTGCTGCTGCTGCTGCTGCAGTTCCTGCTGCTGATCTGCTGGGGGCTGGGAGATGATAGCCTTCCATAGACCCGTCTGCAGCAGCAAATCTTTAACCGAAGTAAGCTGCAGCAGCAGCAGCTGCCGCAGCAAATCTAGAAGATCTTGCTGCTGCAGCTGAGAAGGAAGCTGCTGCTTGCGGATACAGTGTCTTAAGAAAGCAACATAATCAAGAACAGCATTTGTACCTACTGCATGGGTTGCTGCTGCAGCATGAGCAGCAGCAACAGCAGCAGCAGCAGCAGCAGCAGCAGGATCGATACCGAGCTGCTGTGCCCCTTTATTTTTCAGGTGTATAGACAGGTCATGTAAGAGCAGAGCTACTAAAGCTCGAAGACAAGCACCTAGACAAACCCCCTTCGGCTCAGGAGACCCTGGGGCCCCCTGCTGCATTTGCTGCAGCTGCTCTTCATACACCTGAATAATCTCTACCTCTTCAACTTGCTGTCTCCTCAGATGTACAGCAAGAGTGTATGCCTCCTTACAGCCTCCGCAATTCTTATCATAAAAGTAATGTCTCTGTCCTTTATAATATACAGCCCATCGCTTACTCTTCTTGTCTCTAGAGACACCCTTTACTAGAGGGAGACACAAATCAGGTGCTTCAGCTAAAGCATAAAATTCTGTCTGCTGCCCTCCCCCGCTGTTGCTGCTGCTGCTGCTGCTGCTGCTGCTGCAGGAAGGAGACGCTGATGTAGAGTTGCCGCCCGCAGAGGCAGCCCCGCGCTGCACACACAATGTACAGACACATCAATGCAGCAGCAGCAATCAAAGAGATGCAGCAGCAGCAGCAGCAGCGACAGCAGCAAACCTTCATGGGGCTGCTGCCGCAGCAGTAGCAGCAAACTTGGAAACAGCAGCGGCAGCAAATGCAGCTGAGGAGACAGTCGAGGAGACAGAGGAGACAGCAAAGACAAATACATCAAAAGAAGAAGAAAAAGAGACAGGAAGAAGAAACAAAAGGTAATGAAGGGGCAGAAGAAGGACAAGGAGACAAAAGAAACAAGAAAAGGAGACAAAAGAGACAAGCAAAGGAGACAAAGGAGACAGAAAAAGGAGACAAAGGAGACGGAAGGAGACAAAGGAGACAAGAAAAGGAGACAGGAGGAGGAGACAAAGGATACAGAAGAAGGAGACAAAGGAGACAAGAGGAGGAGACAGACGAGACAGCAAAGGATGCATCAAAAGACAGAGAAAAGCTGTATTAGAGAAGACAAAAGGAGACAACATCACTATATTTGGATAAGAGAGTGAAGAGGAGAGCATCAATCGATAGAAGAAGTCATGATAAACCCTAAAATAAATAAATAAATAAATAAATAAATAAATAAATAATATATCTTACTTGCTGACTAGGCTCTACAGGTATAATCTCTCCCTCAGTAAAGTCTCCCGGTCTATAAGCTTGTTGAACAGCATCGCATGCAAACCTGAAGCTTTTATTAAAGCCCCAACGTCTTAAAGGAAAGCGCTTTGTTATAGGGGCTTTACTTTCTTCGTGTTCATAGTATCTCGCAAGAAACTGAAAGTGATGAGCATCATAGACAACTCCTCGTACAC